GCTGCTCCACTTCTTCTAATCCAGCTCTCTGAGAATATGCCTAGGAAATCAGCAGAAGACAGCCCAAGAGCTTGGGCCTCTGCATCCACCTGGGAGATGCGGGTAAAGCTTGTGATTTTGTCTTGCCCAGTCCTCACCTTTGCAGCCACTGGGGAGTGAACCAACAGATGGAAGATTATGCTCTGTGTCTCCCTTTCTCTCTTTTAAACAAAGAGCTAGGGCCCGGCGCGGTGGCGCAGTGGTTAAGGTCCTTGCCTTGCACGCCTGGGATCCCATATGGGTGCCGGTTCCATCCCGGCAGCCCCGCTTCCCTTCCAGCTCCCTGCCTGTGGCCCGGGAAAGCAGCTGAGGATGGCCCAAAGCTCTGGGACCCTGCACCCATGCGTGGGAGACCCAGAAGAGGCTCCTGGCTTCGGACCGGCATAGCATTGACCGTTGTGCTCACTTGGGGAGTGAATCATCGGACAGAAGATCTTCCTTTCTGTCTCTCCTCTCTGTATATCCGCCTTTCCAATAAAAAAATAATAAAAATAAATCTTTAAAAAAAAAAGAGCTAAATCTTAAAAAATAATGTACATTAATAAATGCAGATTGTTCTAAACATATTTCAATTTTTTCACAAAGTTGCAATCTAATTTTTTTTAAATATTTACTTTTATTGCAAAGTCAGATATACAGAGAGGAGGAGAGACAGAGAGGAATATCTTCTGTCCATTGATTTACTCCCCAAGTGAATGCAACAGCCAGAGCTGAGCCCATCCGACACCAGGGGACAGGAACTTCCTCAGGGTCTCCCACGCAGGTGCAGGATCCAAGGCTTTAAGGCTGTCTTAGACTGCTTTCCCAGGCCACAAGCAGGGAGCTGGATGGGAAGCAGGTCCACCGGGATTAGAACCAGCACTCATATGGGATCCTGGCGCACCTAAAGTGAGGACTTCAGCTGACTGCCACCACTTAGGGCCCTAAATCTAAATCTAAATTCCATTATAAAATGTTCTTCAAACATACTAACTACATTTCACATGAGATATAGTCATATGTGACAACTGGAGATTAGATGAGACAACAGAGGCACAGCACACAAAATGCAAACAATAAACAAGGACTTTATTATTACCAGTGACAACTCCCCATTCTCAACTATTTCCTTTCTTTTTTTTCTTTATTTATGTATGTGTATATCTATTTAAAAATGTACTTTATTTTGGGGTCAGCACAATGGTCCCATGGCTAAAACTTTACAACTGTCGAGATCCCACTTGGGCATCGAAGCATGTCCCAGCTGCTCTACTTCCCATCAGCTCCCCGTTTATGGCCTGGGAAAGTAGTAGAGGATGGCCCAAAGCCTTGAGATCCTGCAATCCATATGGGAGACTTGGAAGAAGGTTCTGGCTCCTATCTTTGTATCAGTTCAGCCCTGATCATTTGGACCATTTGGAGAGTAAGCCATTTGTAGAGTGAAAGATCTGTCTCCTTTTCTCCATAAATCTGATTTGCCTTTCCAATAAAAATAAATCTTAAAAAATATTTTATTTATTTAAAAGGTAGTTACAAAGACAGAGGAAGAAACAGAAAAGAAATTTTCCACCCACCGGTTCACTCCTTAAATGGCCACGACGTTTGGGGCTATGCCAAAAGCCAGGAGCCTCTTCTGGGTCTCCTATGTGGGTCAAGGGCTCAAAAAATTGGGACATCACCCACTGCCTTTCCCAGGTGCATTACAGCAAGCTGGATCAGACGTGGAACAACCAACACTCGAACTGACATCCTTTCAGAACATTGACAAAAAGATGGCAGCTTATATGTTGCACCACAATACTGGTCTCTCCCCCTCTATGAACTGCTGATGTTTTTCAACATTCTGCCCTAGGCTTTCTTTTCTTCTCACCTGCTGCACTCTTATTTAACAGTCCTACTCATTTCCATGTTTTATCACTCAAACACCAATGATATTTTGGATGAAAATCTTTATTTTTCATACAGACTTCGTCCCTGAGCTTCAGACCTACTCACTCAACTGTCTCCTTAATGAATTCATAAGAATGTCCCCAAGGTTTATACTTTAAAAAAAAAAACGATTTATTTATTTATTGGAAAATCAGATATACAGAGAGGAGGAGAGACAGAGAGGAAGATCTTCCATCCGATGATTCACTCCCCAAGTGAGCACAATGGCCAGTGCTGTGCCGATCCGACACCAGGGGCCAGAAACTTCTTCCAGGTCTCCCACACAGGTGCAGGGTCCCAAAGCTTTGGGTCGTCCTCAACTGCTTTCCCAGGCCACAAGCAGGGAGCGGGATGAGAAGTGTAGCTGCCGGGATTAGAACCGGTGCCCATATGGGATCCCGGTGCGTTCAAGGCAAGGACTTTAGCCACTAGGCCACGCCACCAGGCCGGCAAGGTTTATACTTAACATGTCCACACTGAATCCTTCTCTTACACTTTTAACATTTCTCCTTCTTCCATTATCTCAGTAAATTCATTCCACTCACCCAAGCACATCACCAGTTTTCACAACCAGTCATCATTTCTTTCTTTTTAACATTTATTTATTTAAAAGACAGAGAAAGAGCAAGAATGTATGTGTGTGTGTGTAAGAGAGACAGACAGACACATAGACAGACAGATCTCCCATCCACTGGTTCACTCCCCAAATGGCCCCAATGGTCATGGCTGGGCCAGCACAAAGCCAGGAGCCAAGAGCTTCTTTCTGGTCTCCCATATGGGTAGCAAGAGACAAAGGACTTGGGCCATCATCCACTGTTTTTCCCAGGCCATTAGTAGGAAGCTGGATCAGAAGCAGAGCAGCCAGGACTTGAATTAGTATCCATATGAGATACTGAAGCTACAGGCAGCCCCAATCATTTCTTGTCTGTAAAGTCACCGCTGCTATTAATGCTCATTCTGAAAGAACATATTCCAATGTTTATTTATTTATTTTTGTTGGAAAGTCAGATATACAGAGAGAAGGAGAAACAGAGAGGAAGATCTTCTGTCCGTTTCACTGCCAAAGTGGCTGCAATGGCCAGAACTGAGCCAATCCAAAGCTAGAAGCCCAGAGCCTCTTTCAGGTCTCCCACACAGGTGCAGGGTCCAAGGCTTTGGGCCATTCTTGACTGCTTTCCCAGGCCACAAGCAGGGAGCTGGATGGGAAGTGGGTCCACTGGTATTAGAACCACAGCCCATATGGTATCCCAGTGAATGCAAGGTGAGTTTAGCCACTAGGCTACCGTGCCAGGCCCTCCCGGTTCATCTTATACCACTTCTCTCCCCTCGTTCACAGTGCTTCAGGCAGTCATTTATCCAACAAATAAAACAGATTAAAACCTTTGTGTGCCATATCTATTCAAAGTGATGCAGATAGGACAATGAACAAGAGGCAATAATTCTCTTCTGGCTTCCATGAGACTGCCAGGCTCTACCTCACGGCCTTACCATATGCTCTATCCTTTGCTTAGCCAATTCCTACCCATCCTTCAGGGTTCAGTTTAGACACACTCTCAGGGAATCTTGTCTGATCCTATATACCACTCTGTCATGTCAACTTCTTTATATGAGACATAAATGAACTCTTCAGCATTATTCAGTGCAATTGAAATGATTGAATGTCCATCTTTTCTGGGTTTTAAAAATTACTTCACTTATTTAAACATAGAGAGAGAAAGACACAGAGATTTCCCATCCACTGATTCACTCCCCAAATGTGCACAGCAATTGGAGCCAGGAAGTCAATCTCGGATTCCCACAGGAGTGGTTGGAACACAGCTACGTTAGCCATCATCTGCTGCCTCTCAGGCTCCGTGTAACACAAAGCTCAAATTAGAAGAACCAGGACTCAGACCTAGGCACTCTGACATAGGATGCAGGATGACCTGTTCAGCACTACACTAAACACCCAACCCCACCTTTTCTGTTATATCCCCAGAGCTCAGCCCAATATACGCCAATCAGAAAGCACTGATGAAAATGTAAATGCTTATGTACAGCACATACCTTTATATTTTAGGAATACATGTATATAAAAACTACATTCATGTGTATTACTTCCCAACATTTCATAAACTATATTTATGTGAGCATGTACTCACATATCTATGGATATGTACAGTTTGAGGTATACTCACTTTTAGTGTATGCATTTGCATAAGTCACATGTATTTATGCGTGTGGGTGCATGTGTTATGTCCTCTTCTGGCCTCTCAGTGACAGCTCCGATCTCCTAAAGGTAGCTGGGAGCAGGGCCCCAAGTCTCTCTAAGCTGACAGCTCAGTGTAAGTATAAGATCATTCAATGACATTCCAAATGTCAACAAACACTGGCTTGTTCCACTCTGCTACAGGGGAAGTAGGTGGAGGCGGGAGATGGGGAAACCTGGACATTGAAGGTTGCTTTCTCCTCATGCAACCCCACACTGTGTGGGCTGCTGAATGACATCTTGCCGCTGCTCAGGTTATAACCCTTAGGAAATAGGGTTGGTGAACTCAGCTGCAGCTGCTTACTCACTAAAAGCAGGTATTATCTGGCCAAACAGACTGGGACCCTTGCTATTCTTCATCATGAGGCAAAATTCTGGGAGTTCAATTGAGGAGAAGGCAGGAAAGGAGAAAAGATAAAATAAGGTCTGGGTCACAAAGCAGGAAACAAGGCAAGAAGCAAGACTTTTCTGACATTGACTTTATTATTTTAATATGATAAAAATTTTTAAATTACCTATTTGTTAGGCAGAGAGATTTCCCATCCAGTGATGCATGCCTGAAATGCCAACAAGAGCCCGGACTGGACCAGGCTTTGAACCCAGGTCTCCCACATGAGTGGCAAGAACGCAAGTACTTGAACCACCACCTGCTGCCTCCCAAAGTGCACATTGTAGGTAGCTCAAATGGGCAGCAGAGCCTGGACTTGAACCCAGGCACTCAGACAGGAGGCAGGTGTTCCAAGCAGTCTTAACTGCTGTGCCAAATGCCTGCCCCCTACTGTTTTTAGGGGATTAGGAATCTGTGCAGCTGACATAAAGTCACACAGCACAAAGGTCTGAAATAATACTATGCCCCTGAACTCCCAGGACCTCAGAAGTCTCCTAGTCTTAACTAGTTGCTGGCAGGGCCTGAGCTAAAACTTAAGAGTTGTGATCTCTCTACCTGGACCCTTAAACACACCTGGAATATCAAGTGGCTGGAGGGCAGAAAAAAAGGACTCAAGATCCCTTTTCTTCCCAGACCTGCTCGGTTTACTTCACGGAGGACATCACAAATCCAACTGGAAAAAAGTCCTCAGTTCCCCCTTGCACTCTTTCTCTCCTTTTTAAAGCTCAGTGGTGTGGGAGAACCAACTAAACAGATTCACGACAGCTGGCTTGCAGCCCTATTCTTAAGGCCCAGCAGCATCAAGGTGGCCTGAGTGGCAATGTCATCACATGGGTTGGCTGTTTTCCTGTCTTTCTGCTAGGGAACCTAGAGGCAGGGAGCCATCCACACACCAAAAAGTCTAGTGAACTTCACAGAAGAATTGTTCATGGTCAGCGCCTGCCTCGCCTGGCCGGGCCTTCACATTGCATTTGCTAAGGCCAGCAAGCAGCCTCAGATGCGCTCTGACAGCTGGCATGCTGTCCTCCAGGAGTGCAAGCCTAGCTCTGTGTGCAAGGACTTGGTGGAGCTGGTTCTCAACGGTGAGCCAGAAATCACTCACAAGCACACTGTTCCCAGACCTGGTTCAGCCACAGGTGCACACAGAGGAACCAGACCCAGTCTCTCTGGCCTGCAGACCTGTTGGGAAGGAAACACACCTGGGCTCAGCTTCAGCCAAGAAGACTGAACACTCAAGTGCCAATGAGCCTCAAGGCAAAAGACTGACTACTGAGCTTTTCCACAAAGCAAGATCTGGATTGAATCTTCATGGACAGGGAACTCACCTGCAGATGTCGGGAAGGGGACACTTCAGATAGGAGAAATGCCACAGGTCAAGGCACAAAGGTGGGGCAGAGCCTCCCCACCTCAGCCAAAGATGAGACGGAATAAGTAATAGTGGCTCAGTTGCCAGGAGACAAGCAAGAGAGCTGGGTATGGGTCAGAGTACAAATAAGCCAGAACACAAAAGACCTGATAGCAGGGAAAAGAAATGGAGTTCATAAATGCTGTCACAAAGCAAAGCACTCAGTGTGCCACAAATACTTCTCTGCCTATCATTCCTCCACATGCTCACTTAGTTCTAGCCACACACCAGAAGCCTGCTGCTCTCCCTGCCTAGAAACCATTCTCTCCTCATATCCTTTGAATGCCCAACTCAGCACTCAAAATCACTCAAAATTCTCGCAATACCTGCGCTGACCACAGCCACCCCCCATGACTTCTCTCTTTTCTGAGTCTCCAGAGACCACACCCTGACCTCTGATATGTTCTCGCTCTGTGAGCTTGGGAATCACTGGGCCGACTAGCAGAATGAAGTTCCTGAGGCTGTACCAAGTCTGTGGATCTTACATCACGGAGATATGAGTCACCCTCAGGGGCTAGGCCTCCTGGAGCAGGGATCCAGGGAGTATATTCCCACACCTCTTTCTTCTGCTTACCTAGAAGCACAGCCCAAAGTAGAAACGTATACTTTTTTCTGAATGACTCATTTTCTTTCAGCTCTCACTATCCCAGGTGCACAAGGTCCTTGCAGGCCCACAGGCTGGGCACCAACTCTTGGGAGCTTGGTGCTGCAAGTCTCCACAGCTCTTTCTCACAGGAGCAAGGCTCTGCCAGAGCTGGGAAGGACCAAAACCAGACTGCATGAACTCCCCTTGCAAGCCAGAGATACCCCAGGGTTAGGAAGGCCAGAAGTCACATTCATGATTACAGTGAAGAACACCTCTCCAGAGGCTCAGCTCAGGTGCCCTCTCTCTTATAGACAACACAACTCAGTCTAGAGATTCAGCTCTGAGGGACAGCCCTGAAAACCTGGGACTCTTCTGTAAATCTATGACAAACATAGCAGTTGTCATACTCCACCTAGAAGCCTGGTCTCTAAGCAGCTCCCCACTCCCAGAAATAATCATAGTATTTCAGCGCATTTTTAGCTAGAGATGTACAGAAAAAGAGAGAAACAAAAAGGAAAGAGAAAGATGAGGAAAGAAAGCAAGGGAGGAGAGCTCTGAGGCACCAGAAGACCAGAGGGCGCCTCTGAGGGGCTGAGAGACACAGTACCTTCTTCAGATTAATCCATTGCTTGAAGTAATCCGCCACTGGCAAGCCCAAGTACTGGCACTGACCTGGGAGCCTACAAGAAAGAGAAAAGAGAACAAATTGGGCATACTCATGTTTCAGACATGGAGTCTTAAGCCAGAAGTCCAACAGAGCCTATGTGACAATCAAACAGGGTCCACTCTACCCAAGAAATAGACCCCGTCTTCAGCATCATGAATGTCAACGTCCACAATAAGGATCCAGCTGTCAGATCCAAACATGAGGGTCTGGAGATTCTTAGCCAAAAGATCTGCAGCTACCATTTGCAAGGCCTACAGTGTGCTAAGTCCCTTACTTACATGCTCACATGTAACAATGTGAGCATTCAAAACAATGCAGTGAGGTAAGTACTGGTGTCCCCATTTCACAGAGAAGAAAAGGAGATGCAGACAGTGCAGAAAACCAAACCCAATTCTGTGTTGTGATACACCAATTTGTTGTTGTGCCTGTTACAGCAGGAGGCTAAGAACGAAGGCAGGAAGAGAAAGAGGACATGCACTGATTTAGAAATAGCTGGCTAGGAGCTCACATTCAACAAGCCTCTAGCCATGGACCTTTTTTTATACAGAGAAGAGACCATGCAGAAGGACAGAATGAAAACCAAAGGCCTGTTCTTCTTTTTTTTTTTTTTAAATTAAAATTTACCAGCTGTTTCTCCCTCTAGTCACTGAGGCTGTTTTCCTCAAACAAATTCATACAACCAAACCTATGCTGATACCCAATGAGGATCAAAAACTTGGAACTCAAAAAATAAGAATTAATCCTTATCCAAAGAATTCAGTTTGTGCAAAGGAATGGATAATAAAATAAAGAATAGATCAGTATGAAGTTGAAATATGGAAGAACAGAGAAAGATGTTACTAGAAATACCAGGGACCGGTGTGGTGGTATAGGAAGTTAAGTGACCACCTGCAACGTCAACAACCCATATGAACACTAGTTCATGTCCTGGCTGCTTCACTTCTTATCCAGCCATGCTGATGTGACTGGAAAAGCAACAGAAGATGGCTCAAATCTTTGAACCCCTGTACCATATGGGAGACCTGAAAGAAGCTTCTGGCTCCTGGAATTGGACTGGCACAGCTCCAGCCACTGCAGCATTTGGGGAGCGAACCAGCAGATGAAATATTTCCTTTCTTCCTTCTTTCTATCTATTTATCTATCCATCCATCCATCTATAACTCTCTTAATTCTCTGTGGAGGTTTTAAAAAATATGTACTTATTTATTTGCAAAGTATAGAGAGAAGCAGAGACAGAGAGAGGGCCTTCATCTCCTGGGTCACTTCCAAATGGCCACAGTGACAGGCTGGGTCAGATTGAAATCAGAAGCCAGGATCTTCTTCCAGATCTCCCACATGGGTGGCAGGGGTACAAGAACTTGGGCCCTCTTCCTGCTGCTTGCCCAGCAGGGAGCTGGATTGGAAGTAAAACAGCTAGGAGGTGGAACCGGCATCCATACAGAATGCTAATTTTGCAGTTGGTGACTTAACTCACTATACCACAAAATCATCCCCAATTTTTAAAAAAACTCTTTTTTTCTAAATATTTGTTTCCATTGGAAAGGTATGTCAGATTTACAACAAGGAGAAATAGAAAGAAAGGTCTTTCATCTGCTGGTTCACTCCCCAAGTGGCCACAATGGTCAGAGCTGAGCCAACCTGAAGTCAAGAGTCACGAGCTTCTTCCAGGTCTCTCACACAGGTGCAGAGTCCCAAGGCTTCAGGCCATCCTCTCCTGCCTTTCTAGGCCACAAGTAGAGGGCTAAAAAACAAGTGGAACAGCCAGGATATGAACCCATGCCCATATGGGATCCCAGCACAAGCAAGGTGAGGATTTAGTCACTAAAGCCACTGTGGCAGGCGCCCCTCAAAAAAAATTTTTTAAACAAAAACAAAAACATCAAAGGCTCACCCTGGAAGGTCCAAGGGTAGTCCAGCGTTCCCTTCATTTCCTTCAGAGATTTAATAGTAACTCAGAGGAAGCCGACCTCCATGTTTCAAGCACCATGGTAAGGACTGATGTCTGGTAAGATCCAAGGTGCCTTACCTGAGAGGCGGGTTCCTCTCAAATATCCAGGTCACATGGCGGCATTAACTAGAACTGCTCTGGGTCCTGGTAGGGAAATGCTGGCTGAGGCCAAGGCAATCATGGGGTAATTCACAGAGGATGTAACCAAGCTGGGTTTTAAACACAAGGGTTTTAAAGATGAAAAGTAACCTCAGGAGTCAGAATGTGGCTGCCCAAGAAGCAGAACTGTAATCTGTTTGAATAATTTCTTCATTTTCTCCAATATTTTTTTTTCATGTTCCTTATCCTGAGTATTTGTGAAGAAGCATACTGAGCTGAGCTATTTCAGAAAAATCATGTGAAGGCCTAGAAACAAAGGAGGCCACCAGAAACAGCACAGGAACAGGTCTGGAGGGTTAGTGAGCATAAAGCAGGGAGCAGCTATCTCGCTTTCTGCTGGCCAACCCCAGTGGACACAGGCCAGGAGAGAGATTTTCCAGTTTTGACCTGTCCTGGGGCAACAAGAGGCCTCCTCCTCTTCAGTAGGACTTCAAGGGCAAAGGACAGCTGGTTCTTGGAGAAGGATGGAGATGGAGACACACACACACACACACAGAATGGCTATAATGAACACAGAGCAGACACAGAATATCCGTGACAGATAAAGGTCAATAGTTATCCTGAGTGTCATTCTGCACCCCAAATCTGACTGACACACACAGGGACTAGGGACCAGAATTTTCTCTTGGGGACCAGCATCACTGGCAAAAGGTGGGTTAGAGTATTCATCATACCCAATTAAAAAAATAATAATAAGATGAAAAAGAAATTGAGGCTCAGAAAAGAAAAAGGATTTGCTCAATCACACAAGCCAATGGTCAAAACAGAATGTGAGGCTTCTGACTGTACAGGCAGCACTCAGAGTTCTAGAAAGTCAAAACTTTAGAGAAGCAGACAAAGTGGTGGTCACTGCTCAGTCACTTCTGGGTCCAAGGTTCTTAGGATTCTATGGATAAAAGTACCCTGGGCACTAAGGTCTGAATGCTGCAAGTTCCTGCCAGACCCCCATCCCAAGAAAAGTGCCACTGGCAGTCAGCCCTGGATTAGCCCAGAGGCATGAATGTGCAGGCAGGTTTATGGTGCCCAGGTCTCCATGCAGCTGGATTCACTGGGCACAAAGCTCCCCAACTGCCCAAACATCATCTGGTCATACTTATTACTGCTGCCCAATGAAATTTTATGCACCAAGTCCACAGGTGTGATTTCCCCTTCTTTATGAGGGTCGGCATGACATCACTGATAGCCAATAGAAAGGAGCCAATTATGTCCAGGCCATAAAAAGGAATGGGATTTTTTTCAATCAAATCAAAACTTCCTTCAGCTTCATGAATGCAAGGGGCCCCTTTAAGGAAGGGCCCCCTAGTCCTGCCTGTGGCTCTAAACCAAGGGACATAATCACTGTGCAAAGACTGTGAGGCCTAAGGCCACAATAGGATTTCACCCTTGGCATTCACCATATGGCCATGCTCTATCACTCAGGATCCTCAATCCCTGCACAGACCCTGCTGTGCTCCTCACAACTTCATCCAGGGGAAAGTTGGAGAAAAGGGGTACCACTCAAGTTGCCTTAGTACTTCTTTTGGATAACAAAGAAGAAAACAGAGAGCCCTTCCCCCTGTTTACACAAAGGAAAATGCAAGTGGGAGAAGAAATCATCCCCTCAAGCATACAGAACCAAACAAAAGAAGCCCACATCCCCACCCCACTCCTATTTCAGCCCTACCACCTGCAATCCAGCTACTCTGGCTGGCCCAGACAGCTCTGATGGCAAACAGGTGTGGTGAGCTCGGCGCCAGCCAAGTCAGGGCAGTTGCTCATTAAGGGAACACCCTCCTCGCTAATGGGCATGGCCAAGGTGGAGCCATTGTGAGCAGGAGCGCAGCTTTGAAGATGAAATGAGGCAGAGCTGGGGGAGAGCTGCTAGGCTTGAGCCAAGGAGGCCAGCAGCATGGAGGAGGTCTGACAGCCAGGCTGGGAAAAGACACCAACAGCCAGCACCATCCAGAGAAGAGGACCCACAGTGGGAAAGGTCACCAACATTATCCCTTAGGTGCCTTTCTCTCTTTTCATCTTAGGGACAAACCCAACTTAGGAAGATCCAAGTCACTCCAGTAGATCCAAATCCTTAAAGAGAAAGGAGGCAACAGACTGGAGACACCCTCAGTCCCTTTTCTGCCTCTTGGGAAAGATTATGGGATCTGGGCCTCAGAGGCATGTGGAAGTCAGGCCTGATGACCGCAGCTCTACGACATGTGTACACGAGCTCATCTGCAGGTGCACTGGCTGCATTTCTTCTGACGTGAAGAGAGGTGGAGCCACTAAGGCGAGGTGAAAGCAGGGAGAAAGACCCTGTCTTCTTCAAAGTCATCATGGGACCCCAAAGGCACAGAGGACCTGATCTCAGGAAGAACCGGGTAGGAGAGAAGACAGCCTATCAGCCAGGGGGAAGACAGTGACAACAATACACCTCTGAAAGGGTTGGGGGGGAGGGGCTGTTTCCACACTTGCTCACTCCAACACAAACACCTGCAGACACACTGTTGCACATCAGACTGGGCCCCAGGCTGGGAGTCCTCCCTAGTCACAGCCTCCTTAGCCAGCGCCAGGTGAGTCTGGATCCAGCACATGCAGGCTGCCCTAGAGGAGACAGCACTTAGCTGGGAACTTGGCTCTTTGTCTCCCCTGTTTCCTTTCCCCCACCCAGAGGAGATAAACAGACCCCGGGTGATAAACGGCCCGCCTTTCACGATCACTTTTCCTCAAGTTGAGGGAGAGGAGCCGGTGATGGATGGGCTGGAATTTGGTTATCAGGAAGGGCTGTCAGCCAGAGGTGCCTATCTCCTCCCCCACTACGCAGGGCATCATTACACTGTGGCATCGAGGTAAAATATGACCAAGGGGAGGGAAGGAAGAAAGAGGGGAAGGCTGGGCTTACACACGGAGCAAATTGAGCAACAATGAGAGCA